GGGTCTTTCTGTGTGGAGTTTGCATGTTCTCCCCGTGTTTGCGTGGGTTCTCTCAGGGTACTCCGGCTTCCTCCCACCGTCCAAAGGCATGCAGCTTGTGGGGATAAGGTTTAGGTTAATTGGATAATCCAAATTACCACTAGGTGTGAATGGTTGTCTGTCCCTGTGTGTTAGCCCTGCGACAGACTGGCGACCTGTCCAGGGTGTGCCCCGCCTTTCGCCCTGTGACAGCTGGGATATGCTCCAGCGCCCCCCGCGACCCTGAAAAGGATAAGCGAATGGATGGATGTGAAAATACTTTTTGAGATGTTATGTTCTAAGTTGAAGGCATTGTATATGTTTTTGTTGTTCAAATTTAGATGATGAGGTTGTAAACCTGAGGGGGTAGGGCAAAATAAGTATATACTTCTGCCTACTCCTTTTCAAACAACTGTATGGAATGATTTTATGAAACGTTGGTGAATGTATATGTTTGAAATAAAAAAGAACTGAACTGAACTGAAAAACCGACCTACAGCTGAAAAACAGCTGATGAACCGGATCATGTCTGACTCCTTCCAGAGTTCATCATACAGGCTCTGGAGGAGTACCACACGGAGGACAGGAAGTGGACGTGGGAGGAAATGAAGAAAGTGCCAGGCGACTTCAACCACGTGGAGCTGACCCTCCATCCATTCTCCACCTACCGATTCCGGGTCATCGCCATCAATGAGGTTGGCAGGAGCAGACACAGCAACCCCTCAGACCACCACAGCACGCCACCTGCTGGTAAAGAACAATACCTCAACTTGTGCTGTGCAAATGTTGGTATAGATCCAATATCAAATAAATACAGGGCCAGTACTGCCAATACCAGTACTGATACCAAAGCTTAAAGGCAGCTTATGTAGGGAAGAGCAGCATGATTTATGAGATTCTGATTTCAACTGTGATTGTTAATTTCCACAATAATTAGTTGACACAACAAAACACACTCTTCAGCTTTTCGTGTATCTTTTGCTATAGGACATAAATAAAATAGACGTGACCGTGAACATCACAGGTGCATGTTTGAGGTATACACTTTATTTAACACAATTCACTGGGCTACGTGCTGAAACTAAAAGATAGAAATAAAAATCGATCCTATCATGATAGTATCGATCCGATACCAGTACCAGCATTGGTATCGATCCGCCCACCTCTAGCCTTAAGTAATAGGATCCATGTGTCAGAGGCTGGAAAAGACTTCAGTGAATGAAACAACAATATAAGCTAGCAGCAGATGTGATGAGCTTTAGAGTTACAACTGCTACTAGCAGTGATTTTTATAGACTGTGTCCAGGAGCTCAATATGAGGCGTGGCATTACCCACCGGTTTTTGGAACAGCAGTTTATGGTCATCACCGTGTTGTTCTTCTGCAGGAAGAAGTCACCATATTTACTGCTATGCTATCAGCTAACACTACCTAGCTTGAGGCACCTCACTAATACCGTATACGTATATTTCACCCAAAGAAGATCGTACAGTTTCACCCACCAAAACTAAAGCTCAGACTTCTTGGATGGTCTGTTAGTAAAATAACATCACAGCAGCCACATTATTGGTCACAATTACATAAAAAATGCTCCAAAACACTGAAAAAGCACAAACATGCTCCAGAGATCCAGATCAGGGAGTCCAATAACCTGTCAGTCAAAGAGGCCGCACCCCTAATGATGTAAACTTTAGGCCTCAATGCAGTTTAAATAGATGAGTTATAAACACATTGTCCACCCTTACAGTTGTCATGGATACAAGTTTGTTTCTGCTGTGAAGTTTTAACATGGAGTCTGACTCACAGCTGAGCCTCAGGCTGACATTAGAGGGACGGAAAATGTATTTACCATTAATTACATTATCAGTCTGAAAGTTTGTAACAAACCTTTTGGGTTATAGCACCACTAGAGGGGGTTGCCCAACTATTGTAGTAGCTATGGGGGTCTCCTAGTGGGTGTGTGAGTTGTTAGCGGCAGCCATTCCATGCTGCTCATGTTCCATGCTCCAAGAAAACACCTTACTTACTGTTGTGACAAGCTGGCGCTGGCGGTACGAATCCCCGCACGTGTAGGTTCGGACGAGTACAGCCGAGGAGACCTGGCTTATAAAGTGTAATGTTGCTGACGGCGAATAAAGGTCTGTTATTGGATTTAACCGACTGGCTCCATGTTATCCGGCTAACCTCCACACCACATGCCCGCTGGACCTGCTAACCGCTCCTTACTCGCCAGACTGCTGTTACAAGTTTCACAAAGAAATATAAAACATGGTTGATCAATGGTCATGGAGATCAATAAAGAAGATCAATACAGGATGACTGAAGTGTGTTTATTAAACTGAGATATTTTCCTTCACCCTTTTAGTTCCCTCCATCAACCCTACAGGAGTGCGCAGTAACTCCTCAGAACCAGGGACACTGATCATCACGTGGGATGTGAGTACGTCAGCGTGTATGCAGTGCGCTCGAGTAAACATCCTCTGATATGTTTCATGAAAAGCACAGTCCACGGGCACTTCATATTCTTACTTTCTGTTGCAGGAGATAGACAAGCGTTTCCATAACGGCCAGAACTTCCAGTACGAGGTGCTGTGGAGGGAGGCCGACGGGTCAAATGTAAACTGGAACTCCGGCCGTGTGAGGTCTCCACCGTTCATAGTGAACAACACAGGAACGTACACACCGTTTGAGATCAAAGTCCGATCTGTCAACGCCCTCGGAGGAGGACCGGAACCAAAGTCGAGGAACGGGCACTCCGGAGAGGACAGTACGTCATCCCAGAGCTTCATCCCTGTGGCCGAGTGCTGTAATGGGAGGGCCTGTTATTGTGTGTAACTGGGAACCATTACAGGGCTAAAGCCTGTGTGCACCCACTGAGAGGACTGGAACTAAAGCTCATACATACAGATATAGAGACAGTACATGATATCTACAAGTCAGTAATACTGATGACAGTGAGCCAGTTCTGAAAATATCAACTTAAAACAATCTGAGTTAACCATGTTTATCCATACAGCTTATGAATGCCATCAGTCATAAATAATCTCACTGCAACAGCTTCATGAAGCATCACATCACATCACAGCTCTTTCTGTCAAAATGTCAAATCTAACATCTCTTGTTGGAGTGCCCGGCAGCTGTAAACATGAATGCTTTGCTGCTGTGCAGGCTGTTAATCACTCAGAGCATATAGTGAAGTTTCCTGTCAGTGCTTAGATCATGCTGGGAAAATGTCTTTAGGTCAAAAGTCAAGAATCTCAATGAGTGGATGATGGGAATGATGCAGCTGAGGGTTTAATGTCTCACGCTGAATGTTCGGCATGTGAATCAATAATTGCCTCTTTTGTAATGTTGTCATTTTGATGAGAAATACGAGTTTCAGCTCGAACTGACTTATTTCTGTTTAGGAGGTTGCACATGCGTTCTTTCACAGGCTTAGAGAACTGTTCAGTTAGAGGGTAGTTAGGAGGTAAAAAGGTGATGACTGCCGAGGTCATTCCTCACAGCAGTCGTCACAGTTTCCTTCAGTTACCTCGAGCTCTGAGGTCTTCACTGGTCTTTGGAAAGCTCAGTGTTTTATCAGCAGCAGCAGCAGCAGCAACGCGTGACATGACACCGTCCAAAGGTTCTTACCAACGGGCTAAGCTTCTTCAGTTCTAGGGTCAAATGGTGGAGAGTCCCAGATTTAGGCCATATGGGAGTGTCCCCCCCCCCCCCCACAGAGGGACAAAAGGACCCCTGATGATCCTCTAATCACATGAGCCAAGGTGTGAAACTGGGTGCGGGTCCCAATCAGCCAGAGTTTCAGGTGAGTTCATTGTGAAACCTGGCCCCACCTTATTATGTGATTTCCTGAGGTCAGGTGGCCCAGGATGTGAGTGGGCGTTAAGGCGTCTGGGAAGGATCTCAAAACTGGATTATAGATTGCAGACAATTGGTGTCACAAGCTCCGCCCTCTGTTCAAAGATGGTCGCTCACAGTGGACATAGATGCTTCTTTCACTCCTCTTTCAAACCATCTGTCCTCTCTGTCCAAAATGTGAACATTGGCATCCTCGAAAGAGTGTCCTTTATCCTTAAGATGCAGATGGACTGCTGAGTCTTGTCCTGTGGAGGTGGCTCTTCTGTGTTGTGCTATGCACTTGTGAAGTGGCTGTTTGGTCTCTCCAATGTAGAGGTCTGAGCATTCCTTGCTGCACTGTACAGCATACACCACATTGTTAAGTTTGTGTTTAGGAGTTTTGTCGTTCGGGTGAACCAGTTTGTGTCCAAGTGTGCTGCTGGGTCTGAAGTAAACTAGGATGTTGTGCTTGGAGAAAACTCTCCTGAGTTTCTCTGATACACCGGCTACAGAGGGGATGACAATGTTTTAAGTGTTTCCTTTGCATGTGTGTGTTGCTTCTTTTTCCCTTCAGGCTTAGAGGGAACATGTTCTGCCCGGTGGTGTAGGGTCCTAATTACTCCAAGTCTGTGTTCCAGAGGGTGATGGGAGTCAAAGAGGAGGTACTGGTCCGTGTGCGTGGGCTTCCGGTAAACTTCGATGTTGAGGTTTCTTCTCAATGCGCAGAGCACAGTTCAGGAATGACAAACAGTTATCCTTTGTGTCTTCCCTAGTTTGACACAAAGGATAACTGTTTGCCATTCTTTAGGAGTCTTCTCCAAGCACAACATCCCAGTTTACTTCAGACCCAGCAACACACTCAGACAGAAACTGGTTCATCCCAAAGACAAAACTCCTAAACACAAACTTAACAATGTGGTGTATGCTGTACAGTGCAGCGAGGAATGCCCAGACCTCTACATTGGAGAGACCAAACAGCCACTTCACAAACGCATGGCACAACACAGAAGAGCCACCTCCACAGGACAAGACTCAGCTGTCCATCGGCATCTAAAGGTCAAAGGTCACTCCTTCACACATCTGTCTTCTCTTGGCTCGTGTGATTAGGTAGAGGGTCAATAGTGGGTCCATTGTCCCTCTCGGTGGGTTACTCCCACAGAGCTTAAATCTGGGACTCTCCACCATTTGATCCTAAAACTGAAGAAGCTTCTTGGATGAGAGGTGAAACGTCTTCAAGCAACTTAAAGAAGTCCAGACGCTTTTCTTTGCAAGCTCCTTAGACTACGATGACCTGGATCAATGAGGACCTTCACAGACACATGCTGTTAAACTATTCATCATTTCAGGTTCACGTGCTTATATTATGACATCACCGTATTGCTTAGAAATATCCTGACAATCACAGACAAGTCATTACTGCAGCAATGGGTATTTACTAGTGTAATGAATTCAGCAGAAATTCAGAAGTTTGTCTCTGACAGAAAACCGTGCACACACACATACTTCATGGGGACCAGAATTCTGGTCCCCATGAAGGCTGTTGGTCCCCACAACTATAGTAAAAGTCCAACTTTTGTCCCCACAAAGATATCAATACACATTCACACACACAGTCATAAACTGCGAGTTTGTGCAAATAACATCGCTGCTGTGCTGATTTCTTATGTTCATGCCTTGCTGCTTCTCTCAGAGCCAGAGGAAGCGCCGACTGGAGTTTCAACCACCGTGATGAACAGCACCATCAGAGTGAGCTGGAACAAAGCCCAGAGGGTCCGAGGTTGGCTGCTGGGATACAGGGTAGCACTTCTCATTGAGTTTAATTACCTGACTCACATCACAGAAATGCTCTTAACATTTAAATCCTCTGTTCATGTAAGGTTATTACTTGGTGCGATGTTTCAAAAATTTAATTGGACTTTGGCTTTGAGCCTCTGCCCATCTTTAATACTGAGAAACTTTATAATCTTTCTGTCAATCAAACCCCAGAAAATAGTCCCGAGTGGCATCTTTGATTAGTAGAATAATGGATGAAAACACAGGCTGATAAAAAGTTTTTATCGTATTCTGAATTTTTTAATTTCATTTTCAGCTGTAACTTTATCAAAGCACATCAAGTGTGTTCATGTTTCTCTATGCTTGCTTCAGATCTACTATAAGAGGCTGGCTCCCAAGGCCGAACGGAGCCGGAGGTCTCTCAGACAATCCCAACATGAGGAGGACAGAGGAGAAAAATCTAAACAATTGAGTGAGACAGACGAGCACAGCTGGCAGGTGGAGGAGGTTGACCATAACAAGACCTCAGCGGAGGTGACGGGACTGCGACTGTTTTCTGAGTATGAGCTGACGGTCACTGCGTTTAACAGCAAAGGGGAGAGTCCTCGCTCCCCGCCGCACCACTTCCACACACCGGAGGGAGGTGAGTTTCAACCAAACGTTGCTGTTTGAGGGTCATGTGACCATGGATCGAAGTGCGATTTGACAGGTTCCACAAGTCAAAGGTCAGCTGATCTGAGCAGCATTGTGTAGTAAGTTAGCTGTCAGCTTTAATTACCAATTATTTGAAGGTATCAGAATGCTGCTCTTGTTGCAGCCCATTGCAACCTCTGCACCTGACCCAAAAGCTTACGACACGACATTCATATCCGAGCGGACTTTGACATTCAGACAGAATAAAGTCAACCGAACTTTCTTCCCTCGTGTCTAAGAGTTCAGGATCAGTTCTCAAGTTACACAAACCTCACCTGGAACTGTTCTCTGTGTTCAGTTCCTGGTCCTCCTGCATCTCTGGAGTTTGAAAGCCCGACAGAAAAATCCCTGATTCTCTCCTGGAGCCATCCAGCTGAGACCAACGGCATTCTGCTGGGATACATAGTGCAGTACCAACGGGGTAAGGTCTGATCCTGGCTGCGTCATGAAAATAAGATGAAGTTTAACGATTGTGACTTTTCTTTTTGTGTTCATCCTTGAATTCTGTTGTAACTTTACTTTCTGGTGTTTCCTTCAGATTTCAATGTTTTTCTTTGTCCCTGTTTAAGTTTTATTTATTTCACTTTCTGGGAACAGCGTTTGGCCACCAAGCGTTCTTAGTCATGTATGTTTTTCTGCCTGGTTTGTGTTTCATCTGTAGAGGTGGAAAGCAAAGACAGTCCTGTGGAGATACTGAATGTCAATGATCCCACAGTAAAGCACATCACGCTGGACAACCTGGACCCCGACAGCCATTACATCTTCAAAGTAACAGCATGCACAAAGATTGGACAAGGCCCTCCCATCACACGCAGGGGAGCCACTCTGCTTGATGGAGGTGAAACTTCAGAATTCTGCCTCACACCGTTTAGTGTTCGGCTTTATTTAGTGACATAAAACCAAATTCTCAAATTGACCTTGTTTTCTCCACCCCCTGCCTTCTAGAGCCTCCGAGAAACATCACAGTAACCTCTGGTAATGCATCAGTCCACCTGAGCTGGGTGCCCGGAGAGAGAAACCGAAACCACGGCTTCCACATCCAATACCTCAAGAAGAGCGGTAAGGACAGGACGGCTTGCAGGGAGAGGAAGTTTGGGGGGGTCTGTGAGCATGTGTGGACAATGACTCTTAGAAAGGGGAATAAAGGAGCTGGAGAGTAAGGAAGGAAAACATGTCTGAGTCCTTCTCAAAGTCTTGATAACAGTTCCCGGCAGTGATTCGACCAATTATTTTGAAGATCCTGACTCTAAATGATCGAACAGAGGTTTAAACTTCAGTGTTGAAGAACAGCATGCGGAGGCTCAACAGTCAAATCTGAAAAAACTCTCAAATGTCCAAAAAATAAACCTTTAAGGCTTTTTTCTCTTGAAGTTATACTTTGGTCTGAGAACATGACAGCCTGATTAATGGTTCAATCCAAAGTGAGACGAGCCTGAAGAACCTGCAGTGAACCAAGAACAAGTAAACAGCTCCCAACTTGTTATGATGATAACAAGTAGATTAAACTGTCACGACTCTCTGATGTTTCATGCGTATCCAGTGATTTGAATATGAATTTTCACACTGTTTTGCTTCTGCAGCGTCTCTGGATCAACATCACAGCAGAATTATTAGAATCAGCAGAAGAATCAGAGACAGTTCATTAAATGAGAGGAGGAACAGCTTTAGGATTGTTTCATCATATGTTCTTCATATGTTTCATTCTTCTCTGCCGTGTGGCTGCAGGAGGCGGTGGGTGGGAGAAGTCAGAACAGGTCAACACTACGCAGGGTTTCTATATGCTGACGGGCCTCCAACCAGGAGCTCAGTACCACCTGAGGGTCATGCATGGAAACTCCACTTATTGGCAAGGCGAGGCAAAGACCGTGGAACCATGTAAGTATGCAGAGTAGTAGAGGTTGATGCCACGATCTTCACAGATTCACAAATCTAGCACTGTCGACGTCTTGATGCGTGCTCAATCATCCAGGTAAGTAAATTTCCGATTTATACATCGGAGAAAGTAAACAACCTCTGGCGAAACGGGTGTCACATCACAGAAGAGCCACCTCGTCAGGCCAGGACTCTGCAGTCTATTCACACCTACAGGCCAGTGGACACTCTTTCAATGATGAGGATGTAACATCCTGGACAGGGAGGAACGCTGGTTTAAGGGCGGAGTCAAGGAGGCCATTTATGTGAAAAGGGAAAGACCATCTCTGAATCGAGGAGGGGCCTAAGGCTTCATCTGTTACCATCTTACAATGCTGTGATTGCAGCCATTCCCCAACTCTCTGTGAATGGGACTCATGACCATTGATCAGTAGTTGTTGATCAATGGTCATGAGAATTTGCATATTAATGATCAAGGAACTGACCTCCCAGCCCATTGTTCCTCAGTGGGCTGGTTTCAGTCATTATGCAAATGTACTGTTTATAAGATTGAAACTGCAGTCAGCTGAGACTGAAGACGTCACTGGATGATGACGAAACGTTTCTCCCACTGAAAACGTTACGTCCAATGAACAGAATCAACTTTTTGGGACTAGCACTGTGGAGTTTTCAGGCGGGCTAATCTCGCTACCTGTGTGAAAATCATAATTCCAAACGCGTCTGGACTTCTTTAAGTTGCTTGAAGACGTTTCACCTCTCATCCGAGAAGCTTCTTCAGTTCTAGCGTCAAATGGTGGAGACACCAACTGTCTGCCATCTTTAATCCAGTTCTGAGATCCTTCCCAGACGCTTCCTGGGCCATCTGACCTCAGGAAATCACATGTTAGGATGGGGCTAAGTTTCACAATGAGCTCACTCGAAACCTTGGCTGATTGGGACCTACACCTTCACACCTTGGCTCATGTAATTAGGTAGAGGATCATTAGGGGTCCTCTCGGTGGGTTACTCCCACAGAGCTTAAATCTGGGATTCTCCACCATTTGATCCTAGAAGCTAGAAGCTTCACAGATGAGAGGTGAAACGTCTTCAAGCAACTCAAAGAAGTCCAGACGCTTTTCTTTCCAAGCTCCTTAGACTACGATGACCTGGATGACTGAGAACCTTCACAGACATCATTCCAAACATTTCTGTGACAGTCTGTCTCTGTTCTCTCAGTGCCGTCAGAGATAACCGGCAGGTTCGCCACCCAAGGCTGGCTGATTGGACTCATCAGCGCCATCGTGCTGCTGGTTCTCATACTGCTCATCCTCTGCCTTATCAAACGCAGCAAGGGCGGCAAATATGCAGGTACGCTGTGGTGCGCAGATGGACTAACACTCTCTGACTCACACAGACTCTAACGCAGAGTTAAAGGTTTCTTTTTTTCACAGTGAAGGACAAAGAAAGTAAGGAGGTGGACTCTGAAGCTCGACCAATGAAAGATGAAGCCTTTGGAGAATACAGGTGGGCCTTTTTGAATGTCACTCATGATTACAGGCTATGCTTGAAATGCATTTGCTTCCACACAGAACAAAGTGCTACGGTGGCCCTGCAGGTACAAAATACAGCAAGAGCACAAAACACAGAGCGACCCTGCGATTTGAGTCAGTGTGTTGTTTAGTTTTTGCACAAAAATCCTTCATGTCGACACAACAATGAGATCAGTTATATACACTATGTTTTTATATAAACAGTGATAATATCCCTGCAGTAAATCATATTATGAAACTTTGTTTTGTTTCTGAAACATCGAGTTTGACGGCTTCATCTGAGCGTGCAGCTCGTCATGCTCGCAGCTCTGCTTCCTTTCATTCACTTTTCTTTCTCCCTTCAATGCTCTGCCTGCAGATCCCTGGAGAGGTAGGACAGTTCACCCCTCTGTAGCACTCACATGTGTGTTTGTGTGTTTGTGTCGAGATGCTGTTTAGATTTAATGAAACTTTTCATTCTGTGTGCATTTCTTTGATTTTTTGTGTAATTAGGCATCATTTGCATAATCAGCCTGCAGTCCTTGAACACCAGGAAGAATTTTATTAACATTTTATTCATGTGTTATTTTATACTATGTTATTTCATATTTGTCTTTTCTGCATTTTTAAAATTATTTATTTTATATCATTACATTTTTTTATTTAAATACTTAAAATGTATTTAAATACTTATAATAACTTGATCCTCCTTAACATGATGAACTGTTAAAGAGGATGTACTTACCCATGCAGTTTCTTTCTTTCCATTTTCAGTTTGGGACACATTTCACAAATTTGACACAGTTATGACGTCACCGTGTCCGTGTGATGCTACACAGCATGTTCCTGCATTTATCAGACTTCACTTTTTGTCTGTGAGAATTTACACTGAGTCTCTGTGCCGTCCTCCAGCGATGGCGATGAGAAGCGCTCGGACAGCCAGCAGTCTCTGGAGGAAAGTAAGATGGGCAGCGTCGACTCTCTGGCCGAATACGGGGACAGTGTGGACATCCAGTTCAATGAGGACGGCTCCTTCATCGGCCAGTACAGCGGCCGGGCATCTGTTCCCCACGGCAACGAGAGCTCGGGCCCCGCCTCCCCCGTTAATGCAGTCCCACCTCCCCCCGTCGCTCCCTCCATGTCGAGCATCCTAAATCGGCCCAGCTAGAGACACACATGGCCAAAACACACACACACACACACACACACACACACACACACACACACACACACAATGTCAGTACATTCCATTGGTTTATGCAGTGAAGCTGTTTACAGTTTACAAACACACACACATACAACCGCGTGATTAGAAACTCGTATGAGCGAACAAACTGAGTGAGGTGAGGGCGAGCTGCACCAGCTGCTCCTGAGCTCGGTGAGTCAGGTTACATGAGCTCAGTCTGTTTGCAGGATTGTTACTGAACATGTAAAACTTCTGACTTTGTAACAACTGAGATGGTGTTCGGGACACGTAGCCCGCCGAAGACACGCAGCGAATGTTATTCTGGTCTGCAGCATCTGATTCAGCTTCACATGTCAGTAACTACTCACATAGATTAACACCCAAATGAGTACATGGAGACAGTTTAAGAGCTATGAAACTTCAATTAAATTCATAATAAAGGGATACAAAACAGACTAGTTCTTATGTAGGATTATTGATGAATATTTAAAATTCTGGACTAACTTTTTGTAGACAGTGACTACAAAGCAAACAGTTTGCTAGTCTGGAAGAACCAAGTGACAGCTGATTGGCTAACGGTGAATATCAGCTTAAACATAAAAATAAAATAATAAAGCTTATTAATACTAATTCTGATAAAGGATCCATTCTCTGTGCATTTTAGCTAATACAGTTTGAGCTTCTGATGTCCTCTCCGTACCCTTCATGACGAGTTCTGACACCTCAGCATATCTCAAACTAGAAAGTCACCTGAGCGGCTGCAGGTGGAGCTCCCTCCTCTAACTCGGTGCCGTTCAGACTGACATACATCTCTGGATTTATCTGGACTTCACCAGGTTTGTAGTGACCATGTTGTGGTTTGTTTACACGATGGAAAGCTTTGTAATTGGGCACAAACAATTTACTGTTTACTAAAATCTTTCCTGATTTGATGAATGTAATTGCGAATTAAGCTGGGACTCGCTGAGATGGCCTTAAAGTGAAACCAGTCTCAGTCTCATAAGGAAATGAGTTTCATGGCTCAGAGTGTTGCGTCTGATTCTTGGTTGCTCCATCTGTCCACCAGGACAAAGCTGCTCTTTGACTTTTTACCTTAGAGTGGTGTTTGCACATGACGCAGTAAAGTTAGACTTTAAATAGAAACTTAGAGAAGCTGGTGCAGCTCAGCCCAGGAGACGGAGATGGTTTATGGGAGAGCGTCACAAAGAAAAAGCAAAAATCTGGGAGTTTTTCATCTTTCATCTTGGACCAAATCACTTTATTTCATCGTAAACAAACATTTCAGTCTCTTTTTGTTTCCTTAGCATATTTATATGTCGATTTTTTATATTTATGTGTTTTTGTTACCAACTTACGTATCTGAGTTTGCATGCATGTGTCATGGAACGGTTTTTGCTATTTATAGATGCATGCCAGCTTCCAGGCATTTCTAAAGCATTTCATTGATATTTGAGTTAAAGAGCGAGACTGTTACGCTGTGTGTGTGCGTGTGTGTGTGTGTGTGTGTGTGTGCTTGCTCTCCATCCTTGCCCTTTGACCTGCAGAGAGGGGAGCTCTGTTGCCTTAGGAGAGTCCAGATGAACCTCCTCTCCTCCCTCTTCCTGTCAGTCATCTCTCCTCAGACGCAGCTTCATGTGTAAAAGTTTTCAGCGTTGCAGTTTCTGCAAACGTCCATTAAACCCTGTAAACGGCCAGCAGACGGCACAGTTCACTGCTTCAGATGTTTCAGGGCTGCCTTTGAATATGATTGGAAAAATTCCTATGCATAAACACACACACACACACACACATACTGATGAACACATGAAGTGGAGGCCCACATGGCGGGTCCTCTGTAGCAAAACGGACCCTCTGACGGAGCGAGGGAGGAGGCGGAGGAGAAAGAGGATCAGATGTAATCGCTCCCTGAATGTAAATAGAACCTTGAGATTGTCAGTTTTTTTATTTCCATTGCTTCTTCTCTAAAATCATTGAATTGCAGTTTGTCTTTTTATCTTTTGCTCTGTTTGATTTTGTACTTGTATTTTGTATCAACACCCTCCCCTCCATCGTCTAATCTTAGGTTTTCCTTTCGTGTCGCTCAGTAGCCTCGAGACGTTTAGAGAAGATTAGAACCGTAGAGAGAAAAACACTCCCCTTCATTCATTCAGTTTCTTTATAGCGCGTAGCAATGCAGCAAATAATACTGATTATTAAAAAGCTATGTCATAAATGTTTCTACAGCTCGCTGAGCTGTTTAATGGCAGCGGGTGAGATGATGTTCTCTGGATGGACCCGCACCGGAAACAGTTTTATAGCTCAGAGGGTTTATTTCGTTGCCTTGGACACGCTGCACTGATGCCGATGCGGATCAAAAAAAATCAATCTGATGAAAATATGTGTCGCAGGATTACACACAGGGAGCCCCGTGTTCGGACCCACAGCTGACGCTTATTCTTACAGTCTGTCGAGCAGAGAGACAAACCCGACGAAGCGATTCACGCAAACCAAGCAGAAAAGACCAAAACCAACAACCACTTACTGTAGACATAAAACTTTAAACGACCTTCCAAAATGATAGTTTCCCATAAAAACAAAGCTCATTATTATCCAGCAAATAAATTCTCATTATAGATGAATTCGTATTTTGCGCTGTAGTGAGTGTTTGTGACTGCAGGAGGATGAATGGGTTTTCCCTCCATCTGTGGCTCTGAGGTATAAACTGGTGCGTTCATCCCACACCATCAAACACGATATTATTCCTACTTTTATTTTCACTTGCTCATTAGGCCACAAATGAATTCAAACAGGCAGGAGCAGTGCATTTGTTGGGAAGCAGGGAATTACATCACTGGTTCTCTACTGTGTGTCTGTGTGACCATAAACTACATCTAAAGGATGGATGTAGCTTTTGGGCCTCAAAAAGGTGAAGTCAACCTAGAAGTGCCTCAAACCTGCATTCTTTCCAAAGCCCAGCAGGGGGCGACTCCTCTGACTGTATAGAAGCCTGTGACTCAGTGACAGGCCTGTCCTACATTTTAGGACAGAGCGTCTTGTCCCCTCAATGCTCACTTCAGGGGTCAAAAAACAAATCCTACTACAGAAAACTAGATTTTTGACAGTTTCCAGACAAAAAGTGAGCCCACATCCAGCACTGGTTTTGGTCTTTTCAGTGGATTTTCCTGCAAAAGAAAAACTACAAGCGAGCTAGAGAAAACTAGAGTGAACTCATGGACAGGGAACTGCGTATCTCGAGCTGAATAATCACTGCTGATTGTGAAATAACAGCAGCGAGCAAACGCTCGTCTTCCTTCATGTACAATAATCCAAAGTCCGACCTCATCTTGTTGCCTTGATGGACGTCTCCCCGCCCTCGACCCCACTCCCGTCCGTCTGTCTCTCTGCTCTGACTGCTGTCCAGCCCTGTCTGTCTGCCTGTTTTTGTCACAGCCTTTTTTATACGTACATGGGGAAAAAACAACAATATTAAAAACACTTAAAAAAGACAAAAATGTAGTTATGCATAATAATTTTGCTTACAATAACAACAGTGCTGTAATCTAATCAGCCACGATGATGACGTCAGTGTCATCCTCATGTGGTCAGTAACACAATGAACCAGTATCACAGGATCAAGCAGGGAGGTTAAAGTGGGAGGACGGGAGAAGAGGAGTCACACATATGTATACAGGGGCGGTGCGTGGGGTGGGAGGGGGTTACTGCAATACTGAGGTGTGCTGATGTTGTAACTGCTTGTTGCGTTGTGCGCTGAGCTGTATCTGATGAACTAACCCAGCTGTCAACTAATAAACACAGACTACGCATATCCTTAACTAGTGGCTCATTTGTGTGTGTGTGTGTGTGTGTGTGTGTGTGTGTGTGTGTGTGTGTGTGTGTGTGTGTGTGTGTGTGTGTGGAGCTGTTAAAGAGTTCAGTTCAAGTCTGACCAAAGTTATTAACCTCTTTACATCCTCGACTGTCCCGGGATGTTTGTGTATTTGAATGCACAAATCTTAGGGAACATATTTGAGCCTGGCTTTCATCCAACCATACATCTTGATGTATGCTCAATCATCATTCAGTCATTATGCAAATGTACTGTTTATAAGATTGGGGAAACCTGCAGTCAGCTGAGACTGAAGACGTCACTTGGATGAGTGACGAAATGTTTCTCCTGCTGAAAAGCTACGTCCAGATGAACAGAATCAACTTTTGGGGGCATCATCCATCCATCTTCTGTTGCTTATCCAGCAGGTCTTGCAGGGTCAGGATTCTAATCAGGGACACAGCTCCTCCGGGGGGACACTGAGGCATTCCCAAGCCAGCTGAGAGGCATCATCTCTCCAGCCTGTCCATTCTGTTTTTGGCCTCCTCCCAGTTGAACATGCCCAAAGGCAAACTACCTCAATCAGCTCCTTTGTGAAAGATTTAGGTGTACTTTGAATTCCTGCTGAATGATCAAGCTGCTCATTTTGGTACCTCGTATCCAGAGCTCCTTCGGTCACAACCCTGAGCTCATGGCCACAGTTTAGGCTGACTTCATGCTAGCACTCTGCCCTTTTCTGGCTGAGAACCGTGGTCTCAGGCTTGAAGATGCTAATGCCCTCTGAGCTCCAAACTGTTCCACTGTACGCTGAAGGTCATCGTTTGATGAAGCCAAGAGAAAAACCAGGTCACCCACAAAAGGAGATCCTAAGAACATCCATCTCAGCTGAGTTGCTGTTTTGAGTCTTTTGGTTCAGCTTCCATTATTATTCTGGTATTTTGTGAGCTTTATTTCTGGTGAATGGACTGCTTCTTATATAATGCTCTTCTACTCTGAGCACTTTACACAACGTGTTCATTCACTTTTTCTATTCTTCTAACAATCACACACATTCATACTCCGATGGACGCATCGGAGAGCAACATGGGGTTAGCATCTTGCCCAAGGATATTTGGCATGTAGACTGGAACAGACTGGGATTGAACCAACAACCATCCAGTTAGTATGTGACCTGCTAACTGGATAGTTGCTGCTCTCCACCAAACGTACGCTGGCCAGTTTTCACACATGCACTGCAGCCGTGAGTTTTTCTCAGCTGGCAGACGAACTGCACCAGCCTCACTTTAACTCATGGCTCATTCTGTAGGAAGCATCTTTTAGTTACGTACTTTACTCATCAGTAAGAATCGTGGATGATGTTAGCCGTCTTATTGCATGCTACTCAACAGCAGATGGATTTGTGCGTGTCAGTGTTTCAACATTTCGCTCGATTGATCTATTAAAGCTTGGATTTGTAGCAACAAGTTGACCATTCACATCCTGTCTTCCAAACCAAGCACATTTCTTTAAAAGGAAAATACGTCTTCTGATGCTTGAAGTAATGATATTTTTATTGGATACTTAACCTTCCATCTGTAAGAGGAAAAAAATAAAAGGATTAATAGCCACACCCTCATGCTCACGGTCAGTATGAATGTTCAAACAGCTGATAAGGGGCTTTCAGTGTGGTGAAATGCAGGAAGTGCAGAGCAGGAAGTGATTTCATTTAAACACACAGCACCGCCTGTGTGACATCACAGCAGTATTTAGACAGTTAATGTCCTCCTAAGAATTTCTTTCTCAGTATTCATCATTCAATTCAATTCAAATATCGACGCTACGCCTCTGTAAAATAGTGTGTTTCAGTGAAGCTGTAAACTTATGCCACATTCCAGACACCTCTGAACTCGGATGTCAGAACTTGTCACTCCTCCGTTAACACATTCCAGAAAAAGTGTGGAACAACAGGATCTGCTTTGGTTCTTTGGAAGGTAGAGAATACAAGACATCATCAACCACAGAGGCTGTGAAAACAGAAAACCTGAGTGTGCAGCCAGCAGAGGAAGTAAACAGCTTCTTCACCCGCTTTGAAACACCACAAAAGCAGCGCTCATCTGCCTCAGCCCTGCTCCCATCCTCATCCTCACCTTCCTGCACCGCTCCACTCACTGTAACGGAGCACGAGGTCAGACGTGTCCTCCTAGCAGTGAACCCCAGGAAGGCGGCCGGTACAGACGGAGTACCTGGCAAGGTACTAAGAGCCTGTGGCCACCAGCTCACCCTCATCTTCACCAGACTCTTCAACCTCTCACTGGATGACGCAGCCATCCCATCCTGTCTAAAATCAGCCACAATCATCCCAGTGCCGAAGACGTCTCCCATCACCAGCCTGAACGATTACCGCCCTGTGGCCCTCATGCTGGTGACCATGAAATGCTTTGAGAGACTAGTCCTTCAGCACATCAAGGATTACCTCCGCCCAGAATTCGACCCGCACCAGTTTGCATACCACGCAAACAGATCCACAGAAGACACCATCGCCCTGCATCACGGTATGGTACGGCAGCTGCACTAAGGCTGACAGAGCGAGGATTCAGAGTGTAGTCAAGACACAAAAAATCATCCGCTCCCCTCCCTGACGAGTTACGCTCAAAGCTGTGAGTCAACAGAAGCTGAACAGCTGCAGACTAGTTAAGTAGGACTATCAGACCAATGAATTCCAAAAGAGTGCATCACAATTTCCTGCTCAGCTGGATGTGAATCTGTAAGGAAAACTGGAATGACGCTGTTAAATACAGACACGGTGGAGAAAACGTGACGTATCTAATCTATAAAGATGCCCATTAGTGCCGCCTTGGCCTGGGTTACCTTCCCTCCACTCATTCATACATGTGCCTACAGTGTGCATTACTTCACACAGAAACATCCCAGCTAAAAAATAAGAACACCTGCTGGCAGGTAACGACCAGCCGCCCTGCTGCCAGCCCTTATTCAATTAGAAAGGCCACATTGCCTGTCACAGCACCTCCCTGTGGTTACATATAGAACTGCGCAGGCTGTCGCAGCTTTTAGCAAACATGCTGCACCTTTGTGACAATTTATTTCCTCTGTATTTACATTTTCTCATATCCCACTTTTTGTCCTGATAATACAGACTACTGTCTACACAGCCCTCCACCAAATCTCAGCATAAGGCCGTTCTTTCTGATTCTGGAAGAACTGTTAAAGCACATATTATCATGTACAGTTAGGAAGAGCAGATCCCAGCAAACTAACTACGGAGCAAGGAAGAGTATGTCTGCGTTGGACACATTAATAATGCTGACACGAATCTACAAACTCTGCAGGACAGATATTCAGTATTTTATCTGAGGACTGTTTTCTAATGCTGGAAGCAAAAGTGTTTGGGATGTCACGTGTCCTGTATCCTCTCTGTAATCGTATTTGTGCAGATTTATTAATCATGTTCAGGTCCACACGATTTCTGTGAGACTCTGCTAAAGACAATCAAATGTGGGGCACAGTGTCTGAGGGTGGATCACACTGTGTATGTCCACCTCAGACACGTCACCATGGGAAAGGGTCTGACTTTTAACTCTCTGTGACGTAAAAGCCTACGACGAGCCGTCTGCGTAGATTTTGCGTGTTTAACGTCAGCGGTGGGTTCTGCCTGACTGGCTCAGCTGTCCTGGAAAGTGAAAGCAGTGCAGAGGGCCTCGGGGGCCATCGGGGGTCGGAGGGTGTGGGGGTTGGGTGCATTCCCGCCGACAAACAAACCAGCTCCTTAACGGCCAAAAAGCACGTGACCAAGCGTCCTCCACACGAAACAGTCCCGTGACCTTTCGGGTAACAGTGTCGGGGGGCCCCTTTAAGACTCTGTGACAGGATGACGGCAACGAGGTGAGAGTAGAGCGCGCGCAGCATCACGACGATCCCCACAGGAAGGACAAAGAGGAGGAGGAGGCGTGCCACACGATGGGCGCGTCATTAACGCACGGGCTCGTGCTGATGTTTACGATGACAGAGGCGTGAGACGTTAAACCTGCAGGACTAGTTAGTCTGTGACAACGAGGACCGGCCTCTCCGCTCCGCCCAGCACCGCCTGGCTGGCTCCACGCTGCCTGAGCGGGCAGAGACACGCACCGTGGCTGCATGCAGCAGGCACGGAGTCATAACACACAAACAGATATTGCGACGCGGTGAGCCACGAGCAGATCTGCGGGATGATGAACGGAGAGCGGATCGCAGCAGCCGGAGGAGACACGCCGGGGACCGCGGGGAGGACGCTCCGGTTCCAACGGCCGCACGGTGAGTGACGGGCACGCGGGCACGCGCACTGCGCATGACCGGGATGTAAGAATAGCACCCTGGTTATGTAATAAAACAAACAAACACACACACACACACACACTTCCTCTTATTTCATTCATTCCCGCAACACACTGTGTGCGCGTCACCGTGACGCAAACTGTGGATAATGTCATTGATTAGCGGGCAGAGGGCGTGATCATCATCATCATCATCATCATCATCATCAGGAATACTGTTAAAGCCAATCAGCGTGCGCGCACACACACATTATATAAGGACTGCGATATATCGGGCCTGCTGTGAGCGCGCATACATGTCACAGCGCGCGGTCTTTGAGCTGCTGTCAGGCATGTGCTGGGTGGTGCTGCTGGTTTGATAAGACACGGCCCGCGTGGGGAATGGAGTCCAGGGAGCAAAGCGCGCACCCCATGCGACGGCGGCGCGTGCGGTGTGAGAGCACAGGTGAGGTTTGTTTCCCTCATTCAGAGAAACGCACCGCTGACCTCCCCCAGGTCGCACACGTGACTCATTTTTGGTGAAAACACCTGAAGTCTGGCTCGATGGTCACGTGAAGTGAGAGCCAATGCAGGGCCGGATCCGCTGTCTGAGAGGCCCTGGGCAGAAATCCGAGAGTGGGCACCTTTTAATACTGGAGGAGTGGACGACTTTGAGCCTGCGGGGTGGGGAGCGCGTGCTCACACGGCCACTTT